ATCCGGGAGACTCCCAGATAATCCGGGAGAGTTGGCATGTATGCAAAGGAAGATTCAAATGAAACAAGTTTAAAATAATTTTGACCTGAAATTCATTTTAACCTGCCACATATACACTTAAATACTTGTCACAATCAAAATATATCAATAATACAGAAACCAATCAGAAAGAGAGACTGATAACATGTGATATAGATCAAGTTTGGTCTCCTATATATTACAATAAGGAATATTTGGGGTTTTGTATGCAAGTTATTTGTCAGTTATTGATTAACTTGGTGTTGTCAAGAGGTTATTTTGGCAGTTAGAATACACTTTAGTGGTTGTTGTTGAGACTTGACTGTGAGTGTTAATTTTCTACACATCTACTAAAACATGTTGTTACTAACAGTGAAAAGTAGACTGGACAATTTCCTCTCCCTTTAACAATTGACTTTAGTTTTAAAATATTGTCATTACGTGGTGTTCCAGGAGTGGTTCATGCAAGAGCAAGTTTGCACTCAGGGATAATTTTAGCACTGTACTGACCACAACTGTGGACCAGCACTGTGATAGAATCCCTTTCATTTATATTTAGAGCCAGGTGAAATTGAAGGGAGAGTGGAAAAAAGCCCTAATTGACTCTAGATCTTGATCTCACATTGAATTATCCTTTTTCATAGAAGGAAGCAGAAAGCCATTTGCAAGGAGAATCTTGCAGTCTACCTGGTGTCACTTAGGGTCTATTTCCACTCACTCCTTCAATTATTGTCATCTGGAACTTTGCATTTCTCTGATTATGTGCAGACAGACTTTGAGTTCACTTGAAGTGAGATTTACAGGCACATAATAATTATTATAGTTTTTTTTTATTCTTGATTATGTTATATTATTAATAGTTGATGGTGGCTGGTCGGAGTGGACAGAATTTAAACCCTGTGATGCCACTAAATGTGGGAATGGAACAAAGATGTTCAAACGCTTCTGTTCAAATCCTACGCCAGAGAACGGAGGACAGTTCTGCACTGGCAACAGCATTAAAATAGAACAATGTCAACACATTTGTCCAGGTAATATATAATATGCAACAGCTTATCAGGATCTTACAATCAACTCATTTGCCTGTCAATCTTTCATGATTGACATTTTGTTTTTGGTTAAGGTTGGTTGTTAATTTTTTTTCTCTTATGCTCGGATCAAAATACAGCTCAGCAATTGTTGTAGTGCTGACCTTGCAATCCCAAAGGGCCTATGATGAACAGGATGTGGGATATTTGGGGAAAAAGTTTTATGGGATATGGATATCCCTGGATATAGAGAAGGAAAACTGCAAATTTTTGAATTGGAATTAACAGGATACAAAATATTTCTAAGGCCAAAAATTAATGAGATATTTAGATCCCTCCCCCCAATGGGGCCTTGCCCCTATACCAATGGTAGATCTAGGAAGGATCCCAGGGGCTGCTTCGTTAATTCATGGCCTGAAAATCCTGTCACATTAAGCTTATAAATCATACTGGGTTCAGCTAATAACTATTGTTTTGTATTATCTTAGTCATAATCACAGCTTAACTAAGTTAAATATGGTTTGTTATCTGTTGCACAGTGAAAAACATGTACTGTAGATGTCTGTAAGACCAGGTTAACTTAAAACAATGTGGTGGAGCAGGGCTCGACTTTGCAACCGCTGAGGTCACCAATGAGACTGATTGTTTTTCACTGGTGACTAATAACTTTTAACGCTTTTCACTGAAACACTTTTGTGGGCAACTAAATTGAGAAACTTATAGGTCAGCTGGCCCCAAGGTTTTTTTTGTGACAGTTGAGCCCTGAGGAGAATGAGTGAGGGAGAAAGGTGCACAGCTGGGTGGCAGACATGAGTGACTGTCAGAGCTGTAGTAGCAAATGGATGGCAAGGGAATGTCAAAGCCTTACCTGCCTTATGGCATGGAGAGATACAGGTATAGAATATAGCTATCGGTAGGTGGATGTCTGTTACTTACAGGCTTTGTACTTTTGTTTCTAGATGTGGAAATAACATGCCCAAATCACACTGATGTGTACATCAACCGGTCAGTTGTGGCATCTAAAACTGTCTCTTGGGATAAACCTCTTGTCCGCAACAAGAAAAATGATACAAAGTTTTCTGTTGAAGTTTTTCCACCATGGGCAGAACCACCTGTGATGCTCCCAGAGGAAAGTCATGTATATGTTATAAAGTATGTAGTGAAGAACGAGTTTGGCCAGACAGCAAGTTGCTCCTTCAACATATCAGTCTATAATGACTCTGGTAAGTTCCATAGTTTTTGTTCCTTTCATTAAAAGTTGTATTTTTGAATACCTGATATTCAGGGTTAACAATTAGCCATGGAGGTCAGTTTGTCTTCTTCACAAATGTGTGGTAATCCATCGTTTACGAATTGAAAGGATTCTTCCTTTTTGACAGTTCTCCACAGGGTGAACAAGAGATCTCAAATTGCTTTGCCCCGTCAAAATGAAACCATGTAAATTATCTTGTCCATGCATTCCAGACAAAATTTTGTTTTTGAATTAAAGCCTGCTGTGTCATTTCTTGGAGACTCATTTTCTTTGAGGATGCATGCCATTTTGAGCCTGTGGCAGGTTGGTACTTCATGTATGATGTGGTATTTGGAGAACCACTGACTGGAGACAGTTACATTGAAAATGGCAGCTATAGGAGACAATAGGATACAGAATGTACACAGCAAAACAGTAATTAATGGATTTTTTTTTCATAGTGACTTTTCAATCAACTGCCAGTACCCCTGATTTTGTGGTCCTTCACTACAATTTTGATTTTTCCTGGCAGGCAATCAAAATTAATTCTTCAGACATTTTCTAGGCTTTTAAGGCTAGATTCAAGATTACTCCCTCTAAGAATCCTTTGGAGTCACAGATAAATTTTTAGGGTAAAATATGCCAAATGTGGTGCATTTGTAAACCCTGGATACTTTTGATACATTTAGCAATGCCAGCTTGGGCTGCATTATAGTACAGGTCAGTGGTAACTAACAGATGTACACAGAAGATGCATGCATCCTATCATGATGTCTTTTTCACCTTATTAGACCAAGGATGAAAGAAAAACTGGGACCAGGGTAGAATGATTGTAAGTGTTAAAACACAAACAGTGGGAACACAGCAAATCGGGGGGTACCGCCATATGAAAAGGTCTCATATGGGAAGCCCCACTCTGGACAGCAAGCTACCTCATACAAACTAATGAGCCTTGCTGTATACACATCAATAGTTCAACCTGTGCACACAGACTTGCATTTGCCTGCTCTTTGCCAACATGTTTTCTTTGGCGTGAACAGCTCTTCAACAGTCAGCTGATGTTCCATCTGGACCATGCACCAATCTCTATGGAACCTATCTACAATGGCTACATCTGTAAAGCAGTCAGTTAATTCTGCCCCAGTCAGTAACCTATTGTTGGGATCAGTTACTATAATTGCATTCACCTGACTGTGTACTTAATTTTTCTAACCTTTTACCCTTGTATTAATTAAGAAACAATCATACAGAGTCTATATAAGCATAATGTCTGTCTTCTCTACCAGCCAAAGCATGTAAAACAGGGGGCTGCAATGTGCTGGTAACAGACGAACCAGAGGGTGCAACTCCATCCACAGTTAAATCAGGTAGGATTCTAAGGACATGTCATACTGGGTTGTCAAAAATAGCTGGGTGCCTACAAAATTCTTAAGTGACTTTAGTCATCTGATTTTGGCAGAAAAAGATGGCAAAATCTGCCCCTTAGCCATCTGTGTGTCATATTGCACAATTTACTGCCAGTGCAGGGGCGGATCTAGGAGGAGGGTGCAAGGGGTGCACACCCCCCTTGAGATGAAGCCTTGTTCTTCGTATTTGCTTTTAATATTTGTTTACCTCACCATTTCTTAGTGGTGCACCCCCTCCTGAGAAAATTCTGTATCCGCCCCTGCAGTGTAGATCGCCTGTCTACTGTAGTGATGTTAAATGCAGCAGCAGACCAATAGTTAGTGTGGTGGGTTCTAATCCAGACTGAGAATTCAAGCATACATCAGGTAGTACAGTCCTCATGTTAGGTGCTTTGAGATGATGCCCTCCTCTGATAATATTCAATTTTAGAAAATAATATCCTCATCAAGTCCAAGGGTTTTTTTTTTCGGCGGGAGAGGTGGGGGGTCTCAAGAACCACACATTTGAAAGGAAGGCATAAAGCTCCAACTAGCTACAGTAAAACAGATGCATAATTTTTTCTTATGGTGGATTTCAGTTGCTTTAATTCTGTAGTGGAAAATCTTAATGATATTGTAACATTTATCGTATTTTCCAGGTGTCCTTGTACTGTATTTGTCTGTGGGACTTGCCTTTGTGATACCGATATTGGCGTTACTCTTTATGGCAAATTATATGTTCCATCGAAGAAAGTTGAGTCAGAAGAGTGCAGCCACAAAACATTATGAAGGTATGCAAGCAAGCTAAGGCCAGTCAGTGGGCCAATTCGGAGTTGCCTTTTGTCGTAGTCCACATCTTTGTAAAGTTTTGTTCTGGTATTAGGAGGCCAAATTATAATTGGAAAAGATATTGTAGTGGTTTTATTATGGCCAAACAAAGCACATGGTTTTAGTTACTGTACCTTATCTTATGTTTCATAAATATTCATTTACCTTGTTTTTGTTAAATCACTCTACAGGTGTAAAAACGACTGAGACAGACCTTGAATTGGATGTTGTCACTCGGTCTGCATCTTATATAGAGCCTGCGGTAGAATCTGGAAAGCTGAGAGATGAATCTCCTATTGATTCTGAAGTGTTTGATTTCCCAGTCCCAATATCCTATGAGAAAGAAGCTCCAAAGACAATGCATATTGAAGTTGAAATCATGGATCAACAAAAGATGGAAAAGCCTCGTGACAAACAAAGGGCAAACTCTTCTGTCAGCAACAAGTCAACAGTGTCAGAAATCTCTCGAATGATGTGGAATGTATCCAACATCCCAGAAAATGCCGATCCAAAAATGGTGGCATGGGGACTTGTAGATCACAAAGGAGGGAAGTTTACGATAGGTAACACAGGTGTGAGCCTCACTGTACCTCCACTGGCTATACCAGAAGGTTGCACTGAAGGTATATATGTAGCTATAGTGGACCAAGAAAAAGAGCATCCCCAGGTCTCTTCCAAGGAGTCGTTGTTGAGCCCAGTAGTAAAATGTGGTCCGACTGGACTTAAGTTTCAGCGTCCTGTGATACTGAGTATGCCACACTGTGCTCTTCTTGAAGAAGGAGCTTGGAATCTTAAAGGTGAGGATAATGGCTATGCTAGCCTGGTAAGTGTAGCCAGGAGAAGGAAACAATGGGAAATAAAGTGGCTTCTTTATTTTTCTCTTATTGTTGCCTGTTGACTTTCTTTTTTATTTAATGCAGTCTGAGGTCAATTTGACTGAGCCCAATTCATACATCAATTATTTGCAATAGCAATAAGTGGAGATTTTCTAACATATCAAGAAAACAGAGCCTGAATTGTATGAGCAATTTTCTTTTCAAAAAAACCATAGCTGGTTCTTTTTTCACCAGCCCTGAAGGGCAAAAGCAATAAATATACTACTTTTTGATGCTAAGAAGCCAGTTCCTTCAGCCTTCAAGGCATAAAGTTTACAAACTGTAGCTGTTGGACCAACTGATCTTCATTTGCCATTAAGACAGCAATTAAGTGAGAGGAGAGAGAGAGAATGCAAATCTGGGCAATCCCCACAAGGTGGTAGATGTGAATTTTTTACCTCGGTGGCAAGTGCATTGTCATGTTTTGGAGGACTTAATTCCTGTCACCAGCCCTGTGGAGATTAGATCTGCCCCTCTCCCCTAAGCCTGGCTTTGACCTGTATCAATGAAGGGAGCACATTGCTATGGCATCGATGAACATGTTCCTGAGCTGTCAGGTTGGCTTTATGCATTAAAGAGTTGCAAACTGAGGACACTCTGCCTTTATGGTTATCAAGAAATATATATTTTTCACTTTTGTCATTTATGGGCTTGTGAATACAAGACCAACAGAGTTTTCTTTTGAGTTAATTGATCCAATTCATATTCTGTTTTCTTGGTCTTGCATTGTCCCTGACTATTCCACTTGTTGTTGTGCTCACTGTGCGTGAGTTGTTGTTGAACAAAACTCAGTCAACTTTTCTTTAGACCACTTAAATGGCAAAGAAAGTCAACCAGCTATAATAGCAGCAAAATCAAGGGCAGTCATTAAGTTTGGAGTCACCTGTTGCTTTGGTCTTGACACCTGTAACAAACTTGTTGCTTTGTAGGTGAATTATATCAGCAACAGGCAAGTTCGGCCATAGCATCAAGGGCCTGTGAAACACACTTAGCCTTAAGATGCTGTCTCTGTAAAAACTGACCACTGATTTTACTTGGAAAATTCGATTTTTCTCATAAGCTGGGATTCAAAGCCCTTACCTAGTCAATCACTAAAATGAGTTTCATTTGATTAAAAATTCTAATTGAATTTTTCTAGGATTGATTGAAGTTTGGTCCGCTCGACACAAGTTGCGTGCCTGCTGAAACTGGAAAAATAGCACATATTGCTGGTGCTCTAAAAAAATTAATATTCGCTCAAAAGACCCAATTCTTTTTTTCAACTATAGATATATCATAGCAGTTTGTTTAGCCATGTTGCAATTATAGCTCAATGTCAATGCAATTATAACTCAATATTATTATGTCGTTCCTTCAACAGTTAAAAGAAGGTTTTCTACCTGTTAAATAGAGTTTTGAACCAAACACGAAAATAGGTCAACTTTGAAAGCACGTTTTAAAAATGTGGCACCTGTTTGAAACTGCTGAACTACATGAATAGAAAGTATAAATGGCCCTTAATTTAAAACAATAATAAAATTTGTCTGCCCACTACGTTTTCAAAACTAATGATCGCTTAAAGTTCAGGAAATTTTGAAATATTCTATGAGTAACTAACATAATTGCCTTCATAAAGTGCTGCGATAAATTCACATAAATCTCTTACCTGGCTTCAAGATTAAAGTTTTGGTCCTTTGTAACGATCCTTGAAACCTAGGTAGCATTAAAAGTGTCAGCTTTTCCTTCCAGCTGTAGGTTTGTATACAAGGTCCATTATATGTTCCTCATCTGTGTTGAGCATGACGGTCACATACTTCGATGTTCTTTGTGTTATACTGACCATTGTTTTCCTCAAAGCCGGTTTAATCATGTAGAGTCCTCTTGAAAGGTTTATAGAAGCACTCTTTTGGACAACTCTTGGGACACATACATGTATGAACAGTAAACAGTGATCTGGGGATCCAAGGAAGGATTTTGTGTTTACAACAGGTGTTTTCATGTTCCCAATCTTCCCGTGAGTATCACATCATTGATTCCTGTGATACTCACGGGAAGATTGGGAACTTGAAAACACCTGTCGTAAACATAAAATGGCCGTGGCATTTACCAATCCTTCCTTGGATCCCCAGATCACCGTTTACTGTTTATACATGTATGTGTCCCAAGAGTTGTCCAAAAGAGTGCTTCTACGANTTAAGTATTAATTCTTCCTTTTCCAATAGTCCAGTATAATGAAAGCGAGCCCAGCACGGCTGCAGACTGGAAGCAGTTGATTGATGTCAATAAGCAGGATGGCTCCGAGCCTTCCCATGTTGTAGTGGAATCGAACATGGTTCACTTGATGGTGGATCATTTCACTTACTTTGCTCTGACTGGAGAATCAGCGGCTAATAAACAGGCCCCTAAAGATGTGCAAGTTCTGGCTTACGTCACACCTCCCGAGGTCAATGGGGACTGTGTTGTTAGGGTGTATTGTGTTGGAGGCACACCAGCAGCAATAGAGGTGTGTGGACCTGTTTAATAAAATAATGATAAATATCTTAATTGACCACTCCCTTAATGGGGCTTTTTCGGGGCCTCTGGAATCAAACGATGAAACAAATAACGTAAATGAACATAACATGGTAAAAAATCCCAACTAGCAGGAGGCAGACCAGTAAGTGTTTTTTTTACAAGCTTGGCTGAGGAGTTGAATTCGGGACAACCGAGAACAACGCCAGCTAAAGGGACAGAACGGTACTTGAACCCGCAACTTCCGGATTTCAAGTCCGGCGCCCTAACCACTCGGTCATGCTCCCGTGATACTCGTGAAGCCAGTATACTTCGGGAGTCTCGCTTACCATTCAAGACACGTATGTTTCCAAAGCTAACCAAGCTATGACTGCTGCGTTTGTTGATAACGCTGTCAGTTTGGAAAAATGTTTTCTTTGGCTGATATGTTTTTGAACTACATATAGCAGGAGAAATGTGTTTGTAAAGTTACACAAACTTGGAAATGTAGAACACAGATTTCGATTGTATTTTTTTTAAAAATCTTATTGCCTTGCCAAGCTTTTGTGATGCTTTTCAAGCCAGGCAGTGGTTTTACTAACCTACATGTACCTGTGACAATGAAACCCTTGTAGAAAGAGACAACTTACCTTTACAGTGTATGCAAACCTGCGGCCCGTTTCTCGAAAGTCCCGGAAACTTTTCGGGCCCGGAAAGCCATTGCAAAATCTAAAACCTTACGATTACGAAGTTGTTTTATTCACATATTCTTAATATGGACAGAGGTTCCCTTCATACAAGAAGTTTCAGGCGTATACACTTCTTCGTTTTTAGATACAGATGAACTA